CACACCCACACACCACACCCACTATTATGAAGGTAATCGAGATACACAATATATATGTATATGTGCGCTTAAACCAGTTGAGCTACGTACCCGCGACCGTCGGAGTGACTTTAGTCCTTTCTCCAAGGCATCCAGCCCTTCCCTGGCGATGCACACCCACCGGCATCGCTATGGTAACACACGCGGCTCCGGCTTTAACTGCACACCGCCTTGTCAACACTCTGGACAACGTTCACGTCCCCGGTGATATCATCACACGTTTAACACTCAGAAGAAAAAACTCAAAACACATGCACAGATCGATCTATGTCGATCACACCGATGAATCGATCAGTGACCGTCTGGTCAGCCGAAGCGTGACGTCCTGTCGGCAACATCAATGGAAACTAACACACACATCCACACTGGTGCTGGTCCGTCGTTATCTCCAGGTAATCCACAGGAAAATATCTGTCACATTCTGTCAGTTCCCAACCACTGACAAGAGCGACTGTCACACCACACGCGGTTACTGTTTACTTTTCTGCCGTTCGGCAAAGTTCACTGCAGGTGCCCGTCACAGCGAGACTACCTTCCACCACGACGCATTGGGGGGTTACTATGTACCGTTATGGCACGCCGGGTATAGATGGGAGATTACAGCGATCGGTCGGGATTAGGGTAGGCTAATAATCCATAAATCAAAAGCGTTTCTAAAAGTTGAAAAGAAGGAGAAGCGGTCTTTTGTTACAGTCTTATTAACTTCTTACATGACGGGAATGGTATGCATTAGACTGACTGACTGACTGAGTTTGGTTTTACGCCGCTTTCAGCAATATTCCAGCAACATCACGGCGGGGACACCAGAAATGGGCTGCATTAGACTGTGCATGCAGGTAGCACCCAACATAGTGAGTCTTTTGTAACGCTTTATGGTTTAACTAGGTTTTACAAGGAGCGACCACACAGAATACATTATGTTATGAATTAAGCATTCCAAATTTTCAATTTATAACTGATCAAATAGGCTTAACATGATAGATCACTGGCCGGTTGCTGGCAATCCTTTCTCAGCTCCTTGAGGAGTATACATAACACGAGCTGAGTCTGACTGACGCCACATTACCATCTGAACAATCTAGCCAGTTATGACATAAGCAAGAATCTCATATACCGCTTGCGTCACCTCATATACTGGCAAAGCTAGAATCTCGCATGCCACACTGCCCTATCGATAACAGCTAGAATATCATATAACACTGTATCACCCGCCATATCGATAACAGCTAGAATATCATATACAACTGTATCACCCGCCATATCGATAACAGCTAGAATATCATATACCACTGTATCACCCTCGCCATATCGATAACAGCTAGAATATCATATACCACTGTATCACCCGGCATATCGATAACAGCTAGAATATCATATACCACTGTATCACCCGCGATATCGATAACAGCTAGAATATCATATACCACTGTATCACCCCATATATCGATAACAGCTAGAATATCATATACCACTGTATCACCCGCCATATTGATAACAGCTAGCATATCATATACCACTGTATCACCCGCCATATCGATAACAGCTAGAATATCATATACCACTGTATCACCCGCGATATCGATAACAGCTAGAATATCATATACAACTGTATCACCCACGATATCGATAACAGCTAGAATATCATATACCACTGTATCACCCGCCATATCGATAACAGCTAGAATATCATATACAACTGTATCACCCGCGATATCGATAACAGCTAGAATATCATATACCACTGTATCACCCGCCATATCGATAACAGCTAGAATATCATATACCACTGTATCACCCGCCATATCGATAACAGCTAGAATATCACATACAAACTGTATCACCTGCCCTATCGATAACAGCTAGAATATGTTATACCACTGTATCACCCGCCATATCGATAACAGCTAGAATATCATATACAACTGTATCACCCGCCATATCGATAACAGCTAGAATATCATATACAACTGTATCACCCGCCATATCGATAACAGCTAGAATATCATATACAACTGTATCACCCGCCATATCGATAACAGCTAGATGGTGTTGGTGCTGTATGTAGTGATATGTTGAACACCGTGGTACATCTGTGTGGGTGCTGTATGTAGTGATATGTTGAACACCGTGGTACCTCTGTGTGGGTGCTGTATGTAGAGATATATTGATACCTCTGTCTTTATGTAGTCGGACTGCCATCAATACAATTTAACAGGACAAATATGTTATATGATAAAAGTATCTTAAAAACATATTGTTGGTCATAAAAAGTCTTTGAAGAGATCTATTGACATGCTATTATCCACATAAACATAATATTTTCAGCCAGGTGTTGTGTCAACATCGACAGGTATTTGTTTGGTATAAGTGTGGTATTGGTTCCCATAGAATATGCTGTCCATGCCTGCTTTAAAGGGTTGTACACAGATCTTACACTGATAACTACCAACCCGAACATGGACAAGCGACCTCTTGCCCTTCTACCCGGGTTTCATATGTGTTGGCGGTTAAGTAAACACCTTGCAAACATTTGCTTTATGTGAAAGCCATAAAGACCTCCTTAAATACAAGCTCACACAAGAGCGAAATAGTTTTGCAGCATGAGTTATGGGGCTCTATTGCCAATGGCTTGTTGACTTGCCTATACAATACAGAAAGGCAGTGAGTGAATTCCCCAGCACACCAGACAAATAACACACTGCAATCGACAGGCTGCAACTGTGACTTCTGTGACTCGAGAACACCATTACACTGTGTGTTAATAGAATTACTTGAAAACATCTCACAGTATACACACTGCAGACTTCATGCACCACACAATATTAACAGTGCTGAAAAACTGGTAAGGTAATATTGAAACCAAATGTAGGTGAATGGCGATGAGAAGCTTATCTGTACTGTATCCAGTTGGACATGGCAGTAAATGCATGCACTGACTGATGTTGACACCCACTGATGACCTGACTGATGCTGACACCTACTGATGACCTGACTGATGATGTTCCGTCCACTGATGACCTGACTGATGATGTTTACACCTGCTAATGACCTGGCCGGATGATGTTTACACCTGCTGATGACCTGACTGATGCTGCTGACACACTGATGACCTGACTGATGATGTTGACAACTACTGATGACCTGACTGATGATGTTTACACCTGCTGATGACCTGACGGATGATGTTGACACCCACTGATGACCTGACTGATGATGTTGACACACACTGATGACCTGAGGGATGATGTTGACACCTGCTGATGACCTGATTGATCATGTTGACACCTACTGATGACCTGACTGATGACGTTGACACTCAGTAATGACCTGACTGATGATGCTGACACCAACTGATGATCTGACTGATGATGTTGACACACAGTGATGACCTGACTGATGTTGCTGACACTTACTGATGACCTGACTGATGTTGCTGACACCTACAGATGACCTGACTGATGATGTTGACACCCACTGATGACCTGACTGATGATGCTGACACCTACTGATGACCTGATTGATGATGTTGACACCTACTGATGACCTGACTGATAATGTGTACACCCAGTGATGACCTGACTGATGATGTTAACACCCAGTGATCACCTGATAGATGATGTTGACACCTACTGATGACCTGACTGATGTTGCTGACGCCTACTGATGACCTGACTGATGATGTTGACACCTACTGATGACCTGACTGATGATGATGACACCCAGTGATGACCTGACTGATGATGTTGACACCTACTGATGACCTGACTGATAATGTGTACACCCAGTGATGACCTGACTGATGATGTTGACACCTACTGATGACCTGAGTGATGATGTTGACACCTACTGATGACCTGACTGATGATGTTGACACCTACTGATGACCTGACTGATGATGTTGACACCTACTGATGACCTGACTGATGATGTTGACACCTACTGATGATGTTGACCCTGACTGATTGATGTTGACACCTACTGATGACCTGACTGATGATGTTGACACCTACTGATGACCTGACTGATGATGTTGACACCTGATGATCTGACTGATGATGTTGACTGATGATGATGACCTGACTGATGTTGCTGACACTTACTGATGACCTGACTGATGTTGCTGACACCTACAGATGACCTGACTGATGATGTTGACCCACTGATGATGACTGATGATGCTGACTGATGACCTGATTGATGATGTTGACACCTGACTGATGACCTGACTGATGATGTTAACGCAGTGATCTTGATAGATGACCTGACTGATGTTGACACCTACTGATGACCTGATGATGATGTTGACACCTACTGATGACCTGACTGATGATGATTGACACCAGTGATGACCTGACTGATGATGTTGACACCTACTGATGACCTGACTGATGATGTGATGACACCTACTGATGACCTGACTGATGATGTTGACACCTACTGATGACCTGACTGATGATGTTGACACCTACTGATGACCTGACTGATGATGTTGACACCTACTGATGACCTGACTGATGATGTTGACACCTACTGATGACCTGACTGATGATGTTGACACCTACTGATGACCTGACTGATGATGTTGACACCTACTGATCATCTGACTGATGATGATGACCTGACTCATGAAGTTCACGCCCACTGATGACCTGATTCATGATGGTGACACCCACTGATGACCTGACTGATGACAGTGACACCCACTGATGACCTTACTGATGATCTTGACACCTACTGATGACTTGATTCATACCCCAGGAACAACCTCTCACTTTTTATCTGCTTACCGACCTAGTTGTGACATTTAAAAATATATGCACATGTTCATAAGAAGTAATGATGGTTCAATCTCAAAACATGTATATCTGGCCCACACCCACACACCACACCCACTATTATGAAGGTAATCGAGATACACAATATATATGTATATGTGCGCTTAAACCAGTTGAGCTACGTACCCGCGACCGTCGGAGTGACTTTAGTCCTTTCTCCAAGGCATCCAGCCCTTCCCTGGGCGTGCACACCCCCACCGGCATCGCTATGGTAACACACGCTCCGCGCTTTAACTGCACACCGCCTTGTCAACACTCTGGACAACGTTCACGTCCCCGGTGATATCATCACACGTTTAACACTCAGAAGAAAAACTCAAAACACATGCACAGATCGATCTATGTCGATCACACCGATGAATCGATCAGTGACCCGTCTGGTCAGCCGAAACGTGACGTCCTGTCGGCAACATCAATGGAAACTAACACACACATCCACACTGGTGCTGGTCCGTCGTTATCTCCAGGTAATCCACAGGAAAATATCTGTCACATTCTGTCAGTTCCCAACCACTGACAAGAGCGACTGTCACACCACGCAGTTACTGTTTACTTTTCTGCCGTTCGGCAAAGTTCACTGCAGGTGCCCGTCACAGCGAGACTACCTTCCACACGACGCATTGGGGTTACTATGTACCGTTATGGCACGCCGGGTATAGATGGGAGATTACAGCGATCGGTCGGGATTAGGGGGTAGGCTAATAATCCATAAATCAAAAGCGTTTCTAAAAGTTGAAAAGAAGGAGAAAGGGTCTTTTGTTACAGTCTTATTAACTTCTTACATGACGGGAATGGTATGCATTAGACTGACTGACTGACTGAGTTTGGTTTTACGCCGCTTTCAGCAATATTCCAGCAACATCACGGCGGGGGACACCAGAAATGGGCTGCATTAGACTGTACGCAGGTAGCACCCAACATAGTGAGTCTTTTTGTAACGCTTTATGGTTTAACTAGGTTTTACAAGGAGCGACCACACAGAATACATTATGTTATGAATTCGCATTCCAAATTTTCCAATTTATAACTGATCAAATAGGCTTAACATGATAGATCACTGGCCCGGTTGCTGGCAATCCTTTCTCAGCTCCTTGAGGAGTACATAACACGAGCTGAGTCTGACTGACGGCCACATTACCATCTGAACAATCTAGCCAGTTATGACATAAGCAAGAATCTCATATACCACGCTTCGTCACCTCATATACTGGCAAAAGCTAGAATCTCGCATGCCACACTGCCCTATCGATAACAGCTAGAATATCATATAACACTGTATCACCCGCCATATCGATAACAGCTAGAATATCATATACAACTGTATCACCCGCCATATCGATAACAGCTAGAATATCATATACCACTGTATCACCCGCCATATCGATAACAGCTAGAATATCATATACCACTGTATCACCCGCCATATCGATAACAGCTAGAATATCATATACCACTGTATCACCCGCGATATCGATAACAGCTAGAATATCATATACAACTGTATCACCCGCCATATCGATAACAGCTAGAATATCATATACCACTGTATCACCCGCCATATTGATAACAGCTAGCATATCATATACCACTGTATCACCCGCCATATCGATAACAGCTAGAATATCATATACCACTGTATCACCCGCGATATCGATAACAGCTAGAATATCATATACCACTGTATCACCCGCGATATCGATAACAGCTAGAATATCATATACCACTGTATCACCCGCCATATCGATAACAGCTAGAATATCATATACAACTGTATCACCCGCGATATCGATAACAGCTAGAATATCATATACCACTGTATCACCCGCCATATCGATAACAGCTAGAATATCATATACCACTGTATCACCCGCCATATCGATAACAGCTAGAATATCACATACAAACTGTATCACCTGCCCTATCGATAACAGCTAGAATATGTTATACCACTGTATCACCCGCCATATCGATAACAGCTAGAATATCATATACAACTGTATCACCCGCCATATCGATAACAGCTAGAATATCATATACAACTGTATCACCCGCCATATCGATAACAGCTAGAATATCATATACCACTGTATCACCCATATCATATCGATAACAGCTCAGAATATCATATACCACTGTATCACCCGCCATATCGATAACAGCTAGAATATCATATACAACTGTATCACCCGCCATATCGATAACAGCTAGAATATCATATACCACTGTATCACCCGCCATATCGATAACAGCTAGAATATCATATACCACTGTATCACCCGCCATATCGATAACAGCTAGAATATCATATACAACTGTATCACCCGCCATATCGATAACAGCTAGAATATCATATACAACTGTATCACCCGCCATATCGATAACAGCTAGAATATCATATACCACTGTATCACCCGCCATATCGATAACAGCTAGAATTTCATATACCACTGTATCACCCGCCATATCGATAACAGCTAGAATATCATATACCACTGTATCACCCGCCATATCGATAACAGCTAGAATATCATATACAACTGTATCACCCGCCATATCGATAACAGCTAGAATATCATATACCACTGTATCACCCGCCATATTGATAACAGCTAGAATATCATATACCACTGTATCACCCGCCATATCGATAACAGCTAGAATATCATATACAACTGTATCACCCGCCATATCGATAACAGCTAGAATATGTTATACCACGTGTTCTCTCAATGTGCCATATCGATAACAGCTAGAATATCATATACAACTGTATCTCTATGTGCGGTAATTACGATCACACTTTTACGTGTTCTTCTATGTGCGGTAATGTTTTACGTCTCTATGTGCAGTACGTGTGTCTTACGTGTTCTCTCTATGTGCGGTAATGTGCGTTAATGTTTTACGTCTTACGTGTTTCTCTCTATGTGCGGTAATGTTTTACGTGTTCTCTCTGTGCGTGGTAATGTTTTACGTGTTCTCTATGTGCCTCTGTTTCTATGTGCGGTAATGTTTACGTGTGTGTTACGTGTTCTCTGTTTTACGTTTTTTTACGTTCTATGTGCGGTAGCGTTTCACGTGTTCTCTCAATGTGCGGAAATATTTTACGCTAAATCTGTTTCTATGTGCAAATGTTTTTCATTTTCCGTGTGCAGTAATGTTCGGCTCATAACGGATTGAGAGTAAGCCATGAGCTGGCATTTCACCAGAAAGGTTCACTGACCAAGACCACGGATCTTGCAAATGGCACCGTAGACCACACGGCCTGTCTTCCTTGAAGAAGATACACGTATATATTAACCATTTGTGCCTGGGATGAGAGCTCGCCTCACGTTGTACTAAGCAGCAAACACTGCGGCCTTCAGTGTGCGATGGGAACGTGCAGACCCTGTTACTGTGAGTACAGACGTCAGGTGCAACACGGGTCAGATCTCAGCTTGCACGTCTAGTCATGGGCAGTCATAAGTGTCCGTTTAGGCCCCATCTCCCCTCAACTTGGTGTTACATGGCTGTTCTACCTTACTGGTGACAGTACTGTGAACAATGGAGACGGCGATTTGTCACAAAACTATCCAGGTGTGACGGTCCGGTGCTAGTCACTGACATCACCAAACAAATCACGGGTGCAAGGCCTCACTGAAATATGTTGTTGCCCACATACGATATCCACCTGGCACTCACAGTCAGCGTACCTTGACAACTCCAAAGCTTGGTCACGTGACAAGACGGGACACAAGTGTTATAGAACTTTTAGCATACCTGTGTAGGGAGATTGCCGATACGCGTTGCCGAGAGCTTCACACGAGACATTCAGGGTCGACTTGAAATAACAAAAATATAGTTGACAGATAGCTTGAGTCGTTAGTTTCGGTAGTTGATATGCATCCATAATTGAAAGTTAATAAAACGACGAAAGAGTTTATTGTGCCACAGTATCTCCTGTTTTGTTCATTAACAAGATTACACCCATATTCCCGAAACATTATTAATACAATAACATACGATAAGATAAGATGTTATGGTATTTCTAACTATTGATTCATTTATCTGAACCCGCGAAACGCACTTTAGATCTACACTCGGTACAGGTTTCAACCAGAATATTTCATGTTGTTAATCAGAGGCGAAGCTGCTACACAACACAAAAACATGTCCTTACACTCGGAAATCGTTACAATAACCAGGGAGAATAGAAGATTACCCCTAACTGCGCCCTTAAAAAAAAGTGTTCATCCCGGCAACAAGTATCTCATGCAGGACTGACAGATTTTCTCTGTAGATTATGCTACGGTGAGCTACCTACGTATGCCTGTATAAACATAAGTGATACAAGAGCAACTGGTACAAAATAGACAAACAACTTCTTTATGACTAAAGTGCGACGTTATTGCAAACGGTACGAGAATCTGTATCGAATCGTGGCTCTCTCGTAATACAGAAGTGGTTAAACGCGAAGTTTGTCTCTTTTGTACATGCCAACTTCTAAAATGCCACTGCTCTTATAATGTTCCTCTGAAGGAGTTGTAGGTGTTTCCTGTGATCGATGAAGTTGGTGTAGGTGTTTCCTGTGATGGATGAAGTTGGTGTAGGTGTTTCCTGTGATGGATGAAGTTGGTGTAGGTGTTTCCTGTGATCGATGAAGTTGGTGTAGGTGTTTCCTGTGATCGATGAAGTTGGTGTAGGTGTTTCCTGTGATGGATGAAGTTGGTGTAGGTGTTTCCAAAGAAGGCTGAAGTTGGTGTAGGTGTTTCCTGTGATGGATGAAGTTGGTGTAGGTGTTTCCTGAGATGGATGAAGTTGGTGTAGGTGTTTCCTGTGATGGATGAAGTTGGTGTAGGTGTTTCCTGTGATCGATGAAGTTGGTGTAGGTGTTTCCTGTGATCGATGAAGTTGGTGTAGGTGTTTCCTGTGATGGATGAAGTTGGTGTAGGTGTTTCCTGTGATGGATGAAGTTGGTGTAGGTGTTTCCTGTGATGGACGGTGGAGTTGATGTAGGTGTTTCCTGTGATGGATGAAGTTGGTGTAGGTGTTTCCTGTGATGGATGAAGTTGGTGTAGGTGTTTCCTGTGATGGACGGTGGAGTTGATGTAGGTGTTTCCTGTGATGGACGGAGGAGTTAGTGTAGGTGTTTCCTGTGATGGGTGAAGTTGGTGTAGGTGTTTCCTGTGATGGATGAAGTTGGTGTAGGTGTTTCCTGTGATGGACGGTGGAGTTGATGTAGGTGTTTCCTGTGATGGATGGAGGAATTGGTGTAGGTGATTCCTGTGATGGACGGAGGAGTTAGTGTAGGTCTTTCCTGTGATGGACGGAGGAGTTGGTGTAGGTGTTTCCTGTGATGGACGGAGTTGGTGTAGGTGTTTCCTGTGATGGACGGAGGAGTTGGTGTAGGTGTTTCCTGTGATGGACGAAGGAGTTGATGTAGCAGTTTCTGTGATGGATGGAGGCGTTGGTGTAGGTGTTTCTGTGATGGACGGAGGAGTTGGTGTAGGAGTTTCCTGTGATGGATGGAGGCGTTGGTGTAGGTGTTTCCTGTGATGGATGGAGGCGTTGGTGTAGCTGTTTCTGTGATG